TAATATGTTAAAAAAAAAAAAAAAAGAGGAAATTACATCCTCCACTTAAACAATATGAAAATATTACATAATTACATTCTCTATATAATTATTTATAAATTAACTAAATTTGTTATATTTATTTGCATATATACCTAAAAAGTTGATTTCTTATTTATATGATAACTTTACATCCATTACTTCCCATCAATTAGGTCTCTCTCCTCTCCCCCTCTCTTTCTCTTCTTCATACACGACCCTATCTCTCTCTTCTTCACACAAAACACACGCTGCTTGGTCACCTTCCAATGATGGCCGCTGCGGCTAAAGAGAAGCTCACGGCGATTGTCTTAAGCCCATCGACGAAATTCCTGAAAATTGGCCGCTAGGGTTTCCATCGCGCTCCCTTTTAATATCCACTTGATTTTTGATTCCTGATAGAAGGAACTATCAAGTCTCTTTTCTTTTATATCTCTAATTATTTCGTCCAACTGCTATATGGAATAATTATTTTCCAAGCTTTCTACCACTGCAGTTGTTCATGAAAATTCACATGCTTCAAGCTTCAACACAACTTTTTTCCTTTTTTTGATTTATATAGTTTTTTTTTCTCTATCGATTTGCTTTAGTTTTTTTAGTGGAATTGGATCGATGATGTGTTGAATTATATTGCGTTATCTATCCGATTATTTCCTGCTTGGAAATGAAGATAGCCTTTTTTAATACTTGCTGAGATCCTGTGATTGATTAATATAGTCTTTGTTTTAATTTTTAATTTTTGTTATGTTTAAGGAGCTTCAGAGATGAGAGCTGATTAAAATCTTCATCCTTGCACTTTGATTGTCAGTGAAAATAAATAATGGGGAATTTACAGTCTGAGATGCTTACTTTATTAATTTATTTATTATTTTGTGGTTTATTTTTAGTTGATTCTTAAGTAATGGTATGGATCGATGATGTGAAAAAAAAAAAATTACGCACACAAAATCAATGTTTTGGTTCGATTTTTTTAAGATTTTTGGACTGTGTGTAGATCAATCAGCACATAATCTGTACATTGAATTTAGTTTATATGTAAAATATATATACATATACTGGGATATGTACAATTATTTTACATCTTGTTTATGTTTGGTATATTAGTATGTACAAATTAGTTTCTGAATGGATGTATGTTTTTTCTGTTTTCAATGTTTATTCATAGTTTATGTTTGGTATATTATAAGATTTTATTGACAAAGCATAAACTATTTTTTTTTTATTTTTTTTCGTGTACATGTATGGTTTATATTAAGTATATTTTCAGTATATGATAAAGAAATTTATCGCGAGACAAAATATAAACTGATTTTTTTTCTTTTTTATTTTGTATATGTATGGTATATATTCAGTATATTTTCGATATATGATAAAGAAATTTACCGCGAGACATAATTTTTATTATAAAATCAGTTTATATTTAGCATAAATTGATTTTTTTTTTGTTTTATTGTTGTTTTGTATATATATGGTTTATATTAACTAAGCTGTTATAATATGCTTTTAAACATATATATACTTTTATGTATAAAAGGAAAAAAAAGGAAGATATAATTATTTGATGAAAGACATTTTTTTCATTGCAACATATACAGAATATATACTAACATAAACGCAATATATACCACCTGACAGCTGTGTGAATTAAGGAATTTGAGCTGCGCACATATACTGAATATATACTAACATAAACGTAAAATATACCCACCTGCACAACTGCGTGAGTTACTTTAGGCATTAATATAGATAAATAAGGTCTTTTTGTTGTGTATATGTCGTCTGGTTTATATTTTAGCAAAACTGTTTACAAAGCATAAAAACAAAATAAACAATACGTAAACTCAACATATACTAAAAAATATTCAAAAACTGATTTAAAACAAGCATAACAGATTTTTTTTTTTTATATCTATGGTTTATATTCAGTATATTTTCGGTATATGTATGGTTAATATTTAGTAAAATCATGGAAAATACATACAATACATATACCAAACATTTTTTATGATTTATTCTATGTATATATTAAATATATATTCAACATATATTTAGATAAAAAAAAATTTGGGTGCGTGTGTAAAATCACATTCTAATACTGCATAAAGGTGAGATAGCAATTTTTTAATTCGTATTGGAACTTGTACTAAGGTCAATTTTTTAATTCGTAGTGGAACTTGTACCAAGGTCTTAATTCGTATGATAACTGATCTCTCTTTGATCTCTCTCCACTTGTACTTGTGTGCTGGCACCTTCGTTTGGGTTTAGCTTTTTTTTCTTGACATCTTTATCTGGATTCGGCTGATCGGATATCGTGCGGGAATTGGGGGATTGAGGCCGCGGGATTATGTAACGGCTTTTAGATTTATAAACAATAAAGAATACTTATTTAGGTAGATTTATAATTATTTAATTCTCAATGGTATAATTATAATATTTTCTATTTCATACAGTATACATAAAAATTTCCCAAAAAAAATTAAAGCCTGAAATAAATGGAAGCCATAGGCATGGGCCTAACTTGCCTCCTCCAAGAGCCGGGCCTGTCTGCACAAAGTCCACGAGAGTTGGCCTAGAAAAAACAAAGAATATAATTAAGAGGAAGAATATAAATAGCTGTAACTACGAGGATAAGCTCATTCAATAGTAAAAAATGAATATTGTTGAAATTTTTTAATTTTTAATTGTTGGAATTTAGTAGTTGTTTATTTAGAACTTAACTTTTATAAAATATAGCATGGTTGAAATGAAATCAATTATGTATATTGTTATAACTAATTGTGTTTGATGCTATTTATAAATATTTGAAAAAATTTCTATACATATAAATGCATAGTTTGAAATCAATTATGTATTTATATTGTTATAACTAATTGTGTTTGAGCTATTTTTAAATATTTAAAAACCTCCTGTTCATATAAATAAAGAGTTTCTTGAGTCTATGTGTTGAATTTTGTACATAAGAATTCTTTTTGGCTCTGTTTGTTTTGAGAGATTTGAAATCCTTCGCTTTCAAAATTTTTGAAATCTAAATTTTTTTATTTGCACACTCTTTGAATTGATGTGTTGAAAATATTATAAATCAATTGTCTAGCTCGCACCGATGGTGTTGACTCGCGGTGATAATGAACCTAAATGATCGCGGACGGCGTGGTCCTCAACGGTGATAAACAGTGGATGTCAAATGACTAGGTTTCAGAAGTCATTTAAAATTTTTCAAAATAATGACTAAAAGATATCTAGCATGAATTTTAAATCATTCATTTTCCACTACCATCCCAACATGCATGAGGATTTAAACTTGTAAATTTGAAATCTATGGATTTCAAATCTCTCAATAAATTCTTCAATCCAAACGTAGCCTCTAGGTATTTCGTAATCATAAGTCTCAAATTCTGGTCATTTGTATCTGAAATTTTATCCATATAAATTAGAGTTTTAAAATTTCAAAATACTCGAGTAATTTAAAATATAAACATATATTAGAAATTAACTTTTAATTTAGCTAAAAAACTTATTTTTTGTATTTTTTATTTTCTTATAAAATTTAAGACTTGATAATGAAAATATATTGAAAGTCAGGAACTTAATAACTTATTAATGTACTACTCGTGCGTTGGACGGTGGGGTTGTTTCCCCAAATCTTTTTTTTTTCTAAACTTTATTTAAATATTTTTTCTTAGAATTAATAATTTGATTATAATGAAAAAAAAAGAAAGAGAAATGCAAAGTATAAAAAAAAATCATATATTATTAAACATTTCTTTATAAATTGTATTTTTTGTTTGATTTTCTGTCAAAACTTCTTTTCCACAGATTAAAAATTTCAGACCTTTTTTGTTAATAATACGGGAGACAATGACATATAACTTTCTTCAAGAATAAGTATTGACCTTAACTCTTGTTTATAGTCATTGCGTAAGAAACTACAATGGGGAACTGCTTTCTTTGGAATTTTAATGGTATTCTAACATCACAAGGAGTTATGGTCATCCGAGGTATCAAAACTTTATCACCTGCATGATCGTCAGTAAGAATTTTACACTCGAGAACATAACTGCAAAGTTTGGTCACAACCAATCGTGTATCATTGTAGAGTCCCATTGTGTGATCCATGTTCCGCAACAACATCACTGGAGTCGCTACCTTCAAACTCAACTCATGATTCGTTGTTCTAGAACACTTGATAGTATTCAAAAACTCAGAAGTATGAAGTTATGTTAAAAAGTCGATATTGGAGTCGGATTTACACGTACTGTTAGAGGTTCGATACGTGCTTCCTTTAGTAAAACTTGATCAATAC